GATCGTTCAGGTTCGTCACACATCATGGGCTGATATCCTCGCCCATGTTCATCATGGGCATGCTAAACCCTACGCCCTATGCCCCAAGCCTCTAAGCCCCTAAGCCCCGAAGCCGCTAAGCCCCTAAGCCTTAATTACACCCTTCCCCGAAGACCGGCGAAGCAATAAACCATAAACCCTAAACCCTAAACCCTAAACCCTAAGCCCTAAGCCCTAAGCCCTAAGCCCTAAGCCCGAAGCCCTAAGGTTAAACCCTAAACCCTAAACCCTAAACCCTAAACCCTAAACCCTAAACCCTAAACCCTAAACCCTAAACCCTAAACCCTAAACCCTAAACCCTAAACCCTAAACCCTAAACCCTAAACCCTAAAAGAGCCTCAGCTTCTAAGGATTCAAATCGACGCGGTGAGCGGTGAAGGCCGGGCTCCGACACTTCGGGGCTCCCACATGCCTTGGGGTAGTTACAGGTTTAGGGTTGAAGGGGCTAGGTTTAGGGTTTAGGGTTTAGGGTTTAGGGTTTAGGGTTTAGGGTTTAGGGTTTAGGGTTTAGGGTTTAGGGTTTAGGGTTTAGGGTTTAGGGTTTAGGGTTTAGGGTTTAGGTTTAGGGTTTAGGGTTTAGGGTTTAGGGTTTAGGGTTTAGGGTTTAGGGTTTCTGAGGTAGCGTGCCAAACTAAACGAAGTTCCTGTGCAGAGGGGCAGTTGGGCTGAAGGAGCGCGCAGCTGCATCACGTCAGCCCAAAGGGGCTCCCCAGCGCTGGGCTTTAGGGTTTAGGGTTTAGGGTTTAGGGTTTAGGGTTTAGGGTTTAGGGTTTAGGGTTTAGGGTTTAGGGTTTAGGGTTTAGGGTTTAGGGTTTAGGGTGTCTCAATGAGTGGGCGCGCTGGTGCTGAAAGCACCCAGGCGCGCGCCCCGAGTTGCATAAGCCCACCCCCGCTGGCGCTCCACCCTCGCCTTAACCTTTACGGGTTTAGGGTTCTTTTGAACTCTGATCGTGCTTTTGCTATTTTTCTCTTGTCTATTGGTTGGGTTTAGAAGCTCGGCATCGATGCCGATCAACTACCCTGAAGCTCGCAGCCCCTAGGCATTGCAAGGGAGATGTCTATCAGTCGAGGGCTGCTGGGAGAGCCAAAAGTCAGAGGTTTGGGCTTGGGGTTGGCTGCCGCCTTCGCCCTCTGTGATGCTGCGTGTTGGGCGGGGGTTGGAAAACTTGCTTGGAAGGGCGTGAAATGAGAAGTTTGCCTCATTCGAGGCTGCCGCCTTTGCGCCCTGAAGTCAAAGGGGTGGGATGGGCGGTTGCTGCTGCCTTCGCTTTCGCTGATGCTGCAGCTGGACCTTGTTGGAGTCGTGGTGGCCTTGTGAATCATTCTAAAAGTGAAAAACCCAAAGGTTTGGGCTTGGGGCTGGCTGCCGCCTTCGCCCTTGGTGATGCTGCGTCTTGTTGGGGATCTGGATCCCTAGCTTGAAAGGGCCAGGCACCTCAGGCCAAGGCTTGTTTTTCAGGCAGGGTAAGCAGATCCAGCCCCAGGCAGGGGGCCACAACCTCCCAGCTAAAACTTCAAAACTGAAGGTTTGGGCTTGGGGCTGGCTGCCGCCTTCGCCCTTGCATGCTGCGTCCTGGCTGGGGATCTGGATCCCTTGCAAAAATCCTCAGACCAAAGCCAAGGCCAGAGTCAGGCAGGGGCCTTCCAGGCCTCCCAGGCAAGGCTCCCAGGCAGCTCCCAGGCAGAGGCCTCCTAGGCAGGGGCCCAGCCAGCGACTGGGGTCTTTTAGGCAGGGGCCTTGGCCTCCCAGGCAGGGGCCTCCCAGGCAGGGGCCTACAGCACCCCAAACAGGGCCTCCTAGGCAGGGGCCAGCCAGGGGCCTCCTAGGCAGGGGCCTCCCGGGCCTTCCAGCAACAAGGCCCCTGCTCCCAGGCAGGGCCTACAGGGAGGGGCTTCCAGGCAGGGCCCTCCCAGGAGGGGGCCTCCCAGACAGGGCCTCCTAAACAGGGGCCCGCCAAAGCACAGGGGCCTCCCCGGCAGGGGGCTCCCAAGCAGCCACAAGGGGCCTCCCACACAGGGCCTGAAGGCAGGAACCTCAGGCAGGGCAGGGCTCCCAGGCAGGGGCTTCCTAGGCAGGGGCCTCCAGGCAGGGCAGGGGCCTCCCAGCCAGGGCTTGGCAGGGGCCTTCCAGGCAGGGCCTCCCAGGCAGGGGCCTCCTGGGGCTTCCTAGGCAGGGGCCTCCCAGGCAGGGGCCTCCCAGGCACCCCTCCCCGGCAGGGGGGCCTCCCAGGCAGGGGGGCCTCCCAGAGGCAGGGGCCTCCCAGGCAGGGGCCTCCCAGGCAGGCAGGGGCCTCCCGGCAAGAGGTTGCGATGTTTTACCCGAAGGTTTGGGGTCTCTTATTGTAGGGCAACCTGACGGGTTTCTCGCCAGCGACCTGCCGGGTCCACCGCGCAGCCCGCAGCTGCCTGCGGGACTGGAGCTCCGTCGCCCGCCGGAGGGCTTCTGGCTCCGGAGCTACCTCGCCTGCCGGCTTCGGTGCGTTCGCCCTGCTCGACGGCCCCGGGCTCACTCAGTTTAGGGTTTAGGGTTTAGGGTTTAGGGTTTAGGGTTTAGGGTTTAGGGTTTAGGGTTTAAACCCTAAGTGGACACACAGTGGACACTCATCGGCATGTCTGCATTGAGGTGTGTCCAGCCTCCAGCAATTAGGGTTTAGGGTTTAGGGTTTAGGTCCCTTACCTTCCTTAAAGGGTTTATTGTACTTGAATATGGTCCCTTACCTTCTTTAAAGGGCTTATTGTAATTTGCCTTCTTGAACGGGCAATTGTTTTGATTAGATGTTTATTCGGGTAGTTACATGGCCCCTTAATATGGTCCCTTACCTTCTTTAAAGGGCTCATTACATAGATGTTTAGAAGGGCATGTTGCGTGGTCCCTTACTATGTTCCCTTACCTCCTTTAAAGGGTTCTGAAGTATGGGCCTTTTCAGCGCCCATTTTCGGCAATTGCCGCATTCGTAGTGGCGACCGGGCTCCCCAGAAACCTAAATGGTGCTGCGTGCTGATATTTTGGACACCAGTGTCCTGATGCCCGTTTCCTGGCTTCGGGTTTGCATATACGTAACCAGACGTGACGAGCTCACAGGCCAGCTCTTTGGCACGAACTCCAGTTACTTCGTAGGTTTCTTGCACATAGCTGCGAGGCGCTGTGACAGGTGTGGGCTTGCTACTTCCATTCTGAATCCTTTAATAGGGCGGGCCCTAAGCCCTACACCCTAAACCCTAAACCCTCAACTCTAAACCCTAAACCCTAAACCCTGCGCGGTGTTTCGCTGGTCAGTGAAAGATGTACAAAATGATTGGCGCCCGAAGCCTTGGAGATGGGACAGATGGGCCTTTCTTTCTGAGAGGGGATCTGAAGGGGATCAATTCCTTTGTCTTTGTTTAACCTTACTGTACTTTCCTTCCCTACGATGATCCCCGTATGATCCCTTTTCCCCTTACAATGCTGGCTTTAAAGGCATTTTTCTCCTACAACACACTATTTCCGGAGCTAGTCCCTGCAACGTGGCCTGAGTGTCAGCTAGGCGGGTGGCAAAAAAAACCTCTAAACCTTCTAAACCTTCTAAACCTTCTAAACCTTCTAAACTTTCTAAACCTTCTGAACCTTCTAAGCCTTCTAAACCTTCTAAACCCTAAACCCTAAACACTAAGAAGATCTCGGTGCAGGCTTGTTCGCGGACTGGAATGCGAAGAGCGCGAAGAAGGTCGTGAGTGGGGACCACATCATCGCTGTAAATGGCGAGAAGCTGAAGGAGCGGGTCCTTCCACCCCAGACCCTAGACCCGAGACCCTAGACCCTAAACCCTAAACCCTAAACCCTAAACCCTAAACCCTAAACCCTAAACCCTAAACCCTAAACCCTAAACCCTAAACCCTAAACCCTAAACCCTAAACCCTAAACCCTAAACCCTAAACCCTACAGAAGCTAAACCCTAAACCCTACAGAAGCTAAAGCCTAAACCCTACAGAAGCTAAACCCTAAACCCTAACCCTAAACCCTAAGCCCCCTAAGACTGCCACGAATGTTTCTCCACTCTCAAGAGGCTTAGCTTAAGCCGCTGTCTGCCACGCTGTCGTGAAAATTAGGGTTGAGGGTTTAGGGTTTAGGGTTTAGGGTTTAAGGGTATACCATGCGAAGAGATTTCCTAGCAAGATCTGTCCTCTGTCCTCTGCTTCTTTCATGCCGGGACCAGGTTTTTAGGATGGGGTCCCTGGGAAACATGAGTCTCGGACCGGGAGTAGGCCCTTTTTTCCTTTTTTTAAGGTTGGGGTTCCGTTATAATCCCCTTAAAACCATAAAAGTGCACCCTTTTGTACTCCCGAGTCGAGATGAGTATTGTAGTGGAAATAGTTCATGGAAAGTACCTAAGTGGAAATAACTCATGCAACCAACTTAGCCTCCGACTTGCTCTGTTACTAATTAGCCTAAACCCAGACCCCAAACCCTGACCCCTCTACAACAGAGAGCCACCTACATTACCAGCCGGATTATTCTTCGGAGCCTTTCGTTCCCTAGCTCCAAGACGTTGGGGTTTAGGGTTAACCCTAAGCCTCAAGCCCCAAGCCCCAAGCCCCAAGCCCCAAGCCCCAAGCCCTACTCCCTAAGCCCTAAGCGTTTAGGGGGAAAGCGTTTGGGGTGTTCCCGTTGATAAGCCCTCAGTTGGAAACCCCCCCCCCCCCCCCCCGCGCGCGTCCCCACCCGGAAACAAGAAAACGAGCGTCCCTGGAACATACAAGCCAGGTGCAGCATGGCCCACGATCTTTGATGCAACAACTTGTTTAGCTACGGAGTTGCAGTGTTCCAGCAGTTTCTGGTTTCGTGTTGAGCGACAACTCCACCCAAACATCCCTAAATCCTAAACCCTACACCCCAAACCCTAAACCCTAAACCCGAAACCCCAAACCCCAAACCCCAAACCCCAAAACCCCAAGCATCGCGTGACGCAGCATTGCTGCGAGCCATGAAGGCCGAACAATGGCAGAAGCTGCTTGTGCTTTGCGCGAGGTGGAATGACGTCTCCACGGCTTTCGTGTGTTTCTTCTGCATCTGCGCTGCCTTCTATGCCAACGTCGCATCCAGGTGGACTACAGAAGACATCCTCAGCAGGGCGGCCACTTGCTTTGCCAACATCTGAACTCTAAACTGTTTTGGGTTTCCTTTTTTTTTGCAGGAATCACAGACCCTAAACCCCTAAACCTTTTTCCCTAAACCTTTTTCCCCCCCTTTTGCTTACTGAAGAAGTAAGGCGATCTTTAAGAGCTTCACGACGGCCATCAATGTGTCAGGAGCTGCGGCGATCTTTGAAGGGGTGAACCTGCTGTGTGGGCGCTTCTCAGAGGGTTTAGAGTCTAGGGCTCAGGGGTTTAGGGTTTAGGGTTTAGGGTTTAGGGTTTAGGGTTTAGGGTTTAGGGTTTAGGGTTTAGGGTTTAGGGTTTAGGGCGCTTCTCAGAGGGTTTCGAGTTTAGGGCTCAGGGGCTGGGGAGGTAACATAACTTTTCTGGTCACGTGAGGATCCGATTACAAGCAAAAGACTCACCTTTTTTTGGGGCCAGGGTATTCAGCGCCTAAGGCTTTAATGTCAGATCCGCCAGCATGGGGACGGAAACCATCATGATGCTCCAGATCTACTTGCAGCTCCTGCTCTCGTACTTACTCATGCGCTCGTCGGGCGACTTCATGGTGCACTCAGACACTAGGTAGGCCCTTGGGACATTGATACCTTTCCCCTTCATGGTGTTTAAGAGGATCATACCCAAAGATGTCTTTTTCAAAGGGTCTTAAGCACTATCCTAGGACATGCTTTGCTACGGGGGACCGCGGCCGGTGTATACGATCCGGTATTTGCAGTGGAGCCTCAATGTTCCGCTGCTCATGCTGGTGTCTGGTGGAGCACATGCGAAGACAGCACCTTGCCACGCTGCTCAGAACCGTGGCAGGCCCTTTGGGATTTTCTTTCGCTTGCCGCCCTTATGGTGTTTGTCAGAGGATCATCTTGAGTGACCATTTTCTCTTTTTCCTTGTAGGGTTTTTTACATTAGGAGGATGATGTTTAGGAATACTTCGTATTTTCTCTCGCAGGGGTTCAGAGGATCATCTTTGGGAATGTTTCATCTTTTCCCTTGTAGGGTTCAAGCGGATCACACCTCGGAATATTTTTCAGAGGGTTTTAAGGGCCGTCGAAGGAACTGGATGAGCAGCCAGAGCGATGGAGACGTACACCAAAGGACGGATAACTGTGGGTCCTCTTGGAGCGCAGTGATGCTTGGTAGCAAAAGTGGTGCCCTGTTAGGGTTTAGGGTTTGGGGTTTAGGGTTTAGGGTTTAGGGTGTAGGGTGTAGGGTGTAGGGTTTAGGGTTTAGGGTTTAGGGCTAGTGGTAGCTGAGTGGCACCCGTTGCCGATTTTAGAGTTCAAGGTTTCCCTTCTAAAGTAACGAACCCCACGAAAGGGTACCCCCAAAATGACGAGATGGGTACTGGGCGGCTACGGCTTCAGCTTCTTTAGGGCTCCCTTCTAAAGCACCCCACAAAAGGGGTTTAGGGTTTAGGGTTTAGGGTTTAGGGTTTAGGGTTTAGGGTTTAGGGTTTAGGGTTTAGGGTTTAGGGTTTAGGGTGTAGGGGAACTGGGCCACCAAGGATGCGTGGAGTGCTGGCAAGCTCTGAGAACGCAGTGCGGGCCTTCGGCGAGATGCCCCTGGCGGCCTCTGCCAGGCTCACCATCGCCTACATCTTTGCCTCTTGGCTCGCGCTGGTGGTGGATGACCACCTCTTGAGATGGCTGCTCATCTCTGCTTCTTGGGGTAGCCCAGTCATACCCTACTGTTTCCTCTTTTTTTTGCCTTCAAGGCTCCCTTGTAAAGTAGCCAACCCCCCAAAAGGGTGCCCTTGTCATAAGATGGTTACTGACCCTAAACCCAAAAACCCAAAGCCCAAAGCCCTAAACCCTAAACCCTAAACCCTAAACCCTAAACCCTAAACCCTAAACCCTAAACCCTAAACCCTAAACCCTAAACCCTAAACCCTAAACCCTAAACCCTAAACCCTAAACCCTAAACCCTAAACCCTAAACCCTGACAAGGCTTCCTTCTCTGCCTACTTCGTGGCAACCTTGGAGCAGGTCGCGCTGTTCTTCGCCTACCAGAAACTTAATAGCTGAGTGAGCACACTTGACATCTTTTTGGGATACCATAATCCCCTACAGAACTAAAAGAGGACACTTGTTTTTGGGGCTTATGAACTCAGCAACTAAGGAAAGCGGGCGCTGTAAGTTGGGCCGGGCACCTGCTCCTAGCGCAGGTCTTTGTCTTTGCGATCTACGGAGGCGTCTACCTGCTTGCCGTCTTGGACTTGGTCTCGAGCACACGGGAGCAGGAGCTGTAAACCCGAAAACCCTAAACCCGAAACCCTAAACCCTTCTCCCCCTGGAAGGAGCTGTACACCTTCTTGGACATCTCGGCGAAGATGACTCACTCTGTGGTCTTGACACTTACTGTTGGTTAGTATTCTATAGAATAAGGCACCATGTAGAATCCGTTAAAGGGTATATAGGGTTTTTTCAGGTTTAGGGTACCTTATTCCCCCCCATTCCCTACTAACCAACAGCAAGGACAGCCTCCAGGAGGTCCGCCGACGCGACCGAGGCGGCCCAGCTTCGAAACGCGGCGATGACCGCGGCTGCAGACTTGAAGCGCATGATCCAAGAGGCCAGCGTGCCGATCTTCGTTGTGAACACCAGGCTTCAGGGGGTAGGTTTGAGCAGATTTTGATTGTTTTTGCCACTCTTAGAATCCCCGAAGAGTCCTTACTAAGCCATAAAGGTCTGAGTCTTACTGCTATTTGCTTAAGAACCCCAAAAGAATAAATAGCAATCTTCCCTATATTACCCTTAAGGAATAAGGGTAATGTAGGGAATGTTATTTTCTAATTTTCCGGGGTTCTTAAGCAATTGGTAGTTTATAAGGCCCCTAAACTTCCTAGGATAGGGCGACCCTTAAGAGGGAACCCCTTCTTAACCCTCTTCAAAACCCTAAACCCTAAACCCTAAACCCTAAACCCTAAACCCTAAACCCCAAACCCCAAACCCCAAACCCTAAACCCTAAACCCTAAACCCCAAACCTACCCAAGGCTCGAGGTGGAAGAATGGAACCATAGCATCGCAGAGCTGACGGGCATGAAGTTGGACGAAGTAAAGGGCAAGCACCTTGTCATCGTTTGGGCAACATCTTGCATATTTTTGCGGGTACTTAACTAAACCCTAAACCCTAAACCCTAAACCCTAAACCCTATACCCTAAACCCTAAACCCTAAACCCTAAACCCTAAACCCTAAACCCTAAACCATGAGCTAGGCAGCTGACACAACTCCTTGCGGAGAATGAGGAAACGACATGGCAGGAGACTTGCCGTTGGTGAGTAGGGAGTCGGGGGAACAAGGTACCCGAATCCCTTCAAGGGTTATTCTAGGGGATATGTGGTACCGTATTCCCCCCTAAACCCTAAACCCGAAACCCGAAACCCTAAACCCTAAACCCTACACCCTAAACCCTAAACCCTACTCACCAACGTGGCAGGAGATTGCCGTGGAGCTCCTCTCCGGGGCCATCGCCGACACCGAAATCGGCTTTGCACAGTTTCAGTTCCCGAAGCAGTTGAGTACACTTTACACTTGTTTAGGGTTTAGGGTTTGGGGTTTGGGGTTTAGGGTTCAGGGTTTAGGGCTTTTTGGGATACTATAACCCCCTATAGAACTGCAAGTGTGCACTTTTTTGGGGCTTATGAACTCAGCAACTAAGGTTCCCCAAGCAGGAGAACGACACACCTGGTGGCTTCCGCAGCCAACAGTTGATGTTTTCAGCTTTTTGTGGGCTTCCTGATGTACTAGGAGCAAAGATAGGTTAACCCGCGACCCTAAACCCTAAACCCTAAACCCTAAACCCTAAACCCTAAACCCTAAACCCTAAACCCTAAACCCTAAACCCTAAACCCTAAACCCTAAACCCTAAACCCTAAACTGCTTGGTTCCTGGAGAAGTAAGGTGTCGTGATTATTGCCGCCAGCGCCAGCCCGATACGGGGTAACAACGGTGCGATTCGTGGAGCTGTTTCTTGGTAGCCCATTGGTTTAGCGTTTAGGTTTAGCGTTTAGGATTAGGGTTTAGGGTTTAGGGTTTAGGGTTTAAGGTTTAGGGTTCAGGGTTCCGGGTTCCGGGTTCCGGGTTGCAAAAAAGGGTGTAGGGTTTAGGGTTTAGGGGTAGCCTTTACTTTTTTTTTTTCGGGTTCTGGGGTTCCCTTTAAAGTAGCCAAACCCCCCCAAGAAGGGTACTCTTATGACAAGATGGTTGCTGGGCTACCAACCATGGGACTATATACATAAGGTAAATAAATAATAAAAAAATATATACATATATATATATATATGTATATATATCTAGGGGTTATATAGGGGGAGTAAGATTAAGGGCCCCTTGTAGGGCGCCCCTCCTGATACCCCCCTGAAACCAAGGTCTGCATCGGCCAGGACATCACCGACGCGGTGCTGCAAAGGCAGGAGGCTCAGGCCCTGGCTGCGGCTCTGACCCGGCTCATCGACACGGCCTGCGTGCCGATCTTTGAGGTGAATCAAGACATGCGGATCACCGAGTGGAATTCCTGGATGGTGAAGAACTTGGGGCTGAGCAAGATTCGTGTTCTCGATGCTGACCTCTCTTCCTTGCTGAGCCCGAGCTCACGCGTGCACTTCGAAGACTTGCAGGAAGAGCTCCATGGCGATCGGCCTGATACTTTGGAGCTCACCCTGCAACTTTGCTCTGTGGGGTAGGTAGCCTTTAATAACCTTTTTGGGGTAATAGCGGGTAATGTATTCCCCTACAAGTAACCTGTAGTTCTCCTAGGATACTGGCGCCAAGGCAAGGGCTGAATTCCAAGCAGGTCACGTTGCGCATGGGCACGGCTCAGCGGATGGATCGTGAGAAGAATGTGGTGGGAACCATCTACATCGGCCAGGATGTCACAGAGTTGAAGGACATCGATGAGTGGAAGATCTCCATGATGGCCATGATGTCGCACGAGCTGAAGTCTCCTCTACATGGCATCATCGGCTTGAGCCAAGCCATGTTGCTGGACAAGTCGACGGCGCAGAAGGGGTCGGTGGTGATGATCAGCAACTGCGCGACGCGGCTGCTTGACGTCGTGCGCAATTTGATGGACACCTCCGAGCTGCTACACCGACGAAATAGGCCCCTGGCAAGGGATCCGGTGCACTTGGCAGGCGTGGCTGAGGAGGTGGTGTTGCTTTGCCAGCAGGCCGTAGACAAGAGGGGCGTCTCCACGATGAAGCCAAGTGTGAAGATCATCAATACCCTCGTTGAGCCTCTGCCCGTCATCGAAGCTGATGCGTACCGATGCACGCAGCTCTTATACAGTTTGGTCTCCAACGCAATCAAGTTCACGCACAAGGGGTCCGTGACCATCTCGGCAAGCGCTGATGATGTGGAGGAGAAAGTTACCGTATATGTCAAGGACACTGGTATTGGCATATCCTCAGACAACCTGGACCGCATCTTTGAGCCTTTCGACCAGGAGGACCGTTCGGAGAAGCGCGGCTACGAAGGGCTGGGTATGGGCCTGGCCCTTTGCCGGGAGATCGTGCACCAGCACCGGGGGACGCTGGCAGTGAAGAGCCAGAAGGGTAAGGGATCGACCTTTCAGTTCACACTACCCTACAAGATGCCTGTGGAAGACAAGGCTGAAGGCAAGGGCTACGAGGATGACAAGAGCGTCTCCTTGCGCGTGCCGGCCACGCAAACCCGCCAGAGCACCAACATCTCGGACCTGAGCGGGGGCTGGAGCAACAACTCCGCGCCGTCCGCGCCCGTGATGGGTCGGGCTCCGACCCTGGACCCCCTGGCTGCCAGATCGACATCTTCGGGTGCGGAAAGGGACGGGCCGAGCAAGAACCTCGCAGGCGCCCAGTATCTACCCGATGTGGGGGAAGACTCCCAGTTGGTGGTACTGTCTGTGGATGATGACATGATCAACCAGCAAGTCATGACCTCACTCCTCCAGTCAAGCCAGTACAAGCTCCAGGTGGCCTCCAGCTTCGGAGAGGCACTCAACTACCTGCTTGAGAATCCGCCTCCAGCGCTCATACTGCTTGAGGTGATGACGCCGGGACTCTCTGGGCCAGATGCGCTGCGCACCCTGCGCAAGAAGTACTCCGCGGAAGTCCTGCCCATCATCATGATCTCGGCGAACGGCGACAAGGACACGATCACGAGACCTAGTAGTAGAGTAGGTAACCTTTCAACCTTTTCGGCGTAATGTAATCCCCTATAATCCCAAAGGTTAACCTTTAGTTCCCCCAGGTTACTGGACAACTAAGGAGATGCTTGAAGCTGGGCGCCAACGACTTTGTGAAGAAGCCGTTTCATCTGTCGGAGATGTTTGCTCGCCTGGAGCTACATTGCAACTTGGTAGTCCAGTGGTACCCTTTACCTTGTTTTTTCTTTTTGAGGTTCAAGGTTCCCTTGTAAATTTAGCCACCCCAAAAAGGGTGCCCTTATTCTACTACGGTTGCTGGGCTACGAAGGTAATTTTTCGTGCTCCTTCCGCCGCCTCGCCAGCCTGCAGAAATCCTCCAGGAAGTCGCGGGGAGAGGTGGACTCAGGGTCTTTGTAGTTAACCTTTAACCTTTTTGGTCATCTAGAATCTTACTCTATATCAAAGGTTCACCTTTCTTTTTTGGGCCTGGGGGGTATTCCGCCCCTAGGTGGATGAGCCTGTGTTCGAAGAACTCGAGTTCCAGGAGGCGGTAAGAGACCAGAAGGAGTCTGCAAGTGCCGAAGAGAATCGGCGGCAAGCGAAACTTGGTAGCCCAGCGGTACCCATCCCCCCCTTTTTTTTCTTGGTTCAAGGGGTTCCCTTAGAAATAGAACCCACCCCCCTCCCCCCCCAAAAAAAAAATAAATAAATAAATATATATATATATATACCTCACATATATATATATAGAGTAACAATAAAAATCAGGGTGCCCCCTGGGTTTAAAGATGGCTCCTCGGCTACCAAGGGAGGTGATCCAAGACCTCGAGTCGAAGTTGGAGAGGGCGGAGCAGGACTTGCCGGGGGGGGGGGGGGGTACTTGGGGAAAGAGTCTTTTCATTTTGTTTGGGGTACTATAATTCCTATAGGAAATGTTTTTTATTTGTTGGGTACGTGTACTTTAATTCCTCTAGGAAGTAACTTATATTTTTTGGGCTCTATAATTCCGAAGAAGCAGCAAAAAACAGTTAGTTTCTGCTAGGGTTCCAAGTGCAGCATTTCCTAGGTGGGATAAGGGGGACCCTTAAAAGGGAACCCCTTCTTAACCCTCTTCTGGCTCTCTTAACAAGGGGCCTTATTCAGAGGGTCTCTATCCCCAAGGGTCCCCCTAATCCTATCCCCTACGCATAGAGGAGCTGCAGAAGCACCAGCAGGGCAACACTCAGCTGGAGGGCCACTTCGCCTTCGCCAAGGAGGCCACGGCCTCTCACTTCCGACGCCTCGAAGCGGAGGTGGGGGGGGTTTGGGGTTTAGGATTTAGGGTTTAGGGTTTAGGGTTTAGGGTTTAGGGTTTAGGGTTTAGGGTTTAGGGTTTAGGGTTTAGGGTTTAGGGTTTAGGGACCCCTTTAATTGACACCCCAAATAGTAGGATTCCGCTATAAGAGTCGACCCCAAGAAAGGGGGTCGGAAACCGCCAGATTGGGTAACCCCAAACCCGAAAACCTAAACCCTAAACCGCCAAAACCCCTAAACGCCCAAACCCCTCAACCCCCAAACCCCTAAACCCCCTAAACCCCCCAAGCCCCTAAACCCCTAAACCCCTAAACCCTTAAACCCCTAAACCCCCAAACCCTAAATCCTAAACCCTAATTCCCTAACCCCTAAACCCTACTTCCCTAAACCCCCAAACCCCCAAACCCCCAAACCCCCCCCAAACCCCCAAACCCCCAAACCCCCAAACCCCCAAACCCCCAAACCCCCACACCCTAAACCCTAAACCCTAAACCCCCTCAACCCCTAAGGTGAAGAAGAGGGAGCAGCTCTTGCTCAGCTTTGGACACCGCCGGGACGAACCGCCTCTGCCACCCAGCTCCCTGCCCGGCGCCGACATCGTGAAGAACCTTAGGGGCACTTGGAAAGTGCTTTTTTTGTTTTTTTTTGTTTTAGGGTTTAGGGTTTAGGGTTTAGGGTTTAGGGTTTAGGGTTTAGGGTTAAGGGGTTTAGGGGTTTAGGGTTTATTGTTTATTTCGGTTTTTTGGCTACTTTAACCCCTATGGAACAGCTGAACTTTTAATTTTTGGTTCCTCTAAGTCTAATCCCCAAGGAGGAGCTGAAATTATTCTTTGCTAGGGTGCCAAGTTCAGTATAGGAACATCAACCGCCTCGAGGAGTCCGTGCTGATGAAAGAGTTGGGTGCCAGCAACTTTGTCACAGTTGGGTAACATTTTTCATCTTCAAGGGTCTTTAAACCCAATATCCCTAAACCCTAAACCCCAAACCCTAAACCCTAAACCCTATTAACATTCTCCCAACCATGAACTAGGCAAAGTCATCGCCTCCCTGCCTGAAGCCGACGCGGAGGTGCTGCGCGATGCCCTGGCCGGGCTGCGTGACTCGGTAGGAAATTCTTGGGATACATTTTTTGTTTGTACATTTTCCCCCTATTATTCGGTTTTTAAGAGGATCATATTCAGAATATTCTATGTATATATACGTATATATATATATATATATATATGTTTTTTGTTGTTTTGCTCCTTCATAAAGTTTAAGACGATCATATCTCGGAAGAGTTTTCAGAGGGTTTTTATAGGGGCCGGCCGAGGTGAGGAGGCGCTGCGCCAACTGCAGGAAAGCAGCCGAAAAGAGCAGCTCCTGCTGGATGCCGCTTAGGGATACTTGGGAATAGGGTTTCAGGGTTTCACGGTTTAGGGTTTAGGGGGAACCCGTGTTTTTGTTTTTTTTTTGTGGGTGCTTTTTTGCTGTGGGTGCTTTTTTCGGGGGCCACACCCGCAGCAAAAAAAAACAACGCGCCCCCCCCCCCCCCCCCCCCCCCCAACCCCCCCCCCCCCCCAACGCCCCCCCTCCTCTAAACTGTGCAAGCGTTTTCAAAGCACTGAATCCTTGTCAAGGCCATCATGCGAGCATTGTGTTTGCAAACGCTGGAGGGAGGGCTGCACCCCGCCCGACCCCCCCCTCTTTAAAACCGTGCCAGCTCGCTTCTCAGCATATGAATCCTGTCCAAGCCTATCATGCCAGCATTGGGTTTGCAAATGGGGGGGGGGCTGCGCCCCCCCCAACCCCCCCGCTTCTTAAGGCCATGGCAGTTTGCTTCAAAGCAAAGGAATCCTTTCCGAACCCATCATGAAAGCATTCCCCCCCGCTTGAAGGGGGGGGGGGCTGTGCTTTTTAGCCGGGCAAACTTGCTTCAATCATACGAATCCCTTCCAAGTTTCCAAGCCCATGATGATGCGAGCATTGTGTTTGCAAATGGGGGAGCGCTGCGCCCCCCACCCCCCCTCCCCCCGCTTTTTTTAGCCGGCAAGCCTGCTTCAAAGCTTACGAATCCCTTCCAAACCCATGATGCGAGCATTGTGTTTTCAAATGCGGCGGTCTGCGCAGCCCCCAACCCCGGAATATATGATTGCTTTCCTACGACAATTCAGACCTTATAGTGGAAGTTGAATTTTCCGCTTAAACATAGAGATATAAACGTCTTCTTAGTAAAGAATCGAGAAAATAGAGCTTGTGTTATGAGACATGAACAAAAACACATGTTGTCTACGAGTCACAGATAGAGATAATGCATGTACTCTTATGACAATATAGAGAATTAGCTTTTCATGTATTCCTCTCTCATGTCTTCCTCGTGAACTAAAGAGAAGAAGTCTGAAAATACTGACAAAATAGTAAACTATAGAACAATAGAGGTTTTCGCTATACAGTATAGAGAAATTAGAGGTTTCCTCTGACAACATAGAGGAAATAGAGGCTTTCATACGAAAATATAGCGAAAATACAAAGTGTTTTCAGATTAAAATGTAGAGGTCTTGATATTCAAATATAGAGAATGGAGGTTTTCATGTTCAAATTTTAAGAAAATGGAGGTTTGCCTATTCAGAGACAGAGAAAATAATGGGCTTCCGATTAAAGTAGGACAAGAGGAACAAAAACACTTTTAATTGCAAGTCACATATTGAGATAACACAGAGAATTAGTTTCTCATGTATTCCTCTCTCATGTCTTCCTCATTATATATAGAGGAAAAACTATGACGATATAGACCAAATAGAGAGAAATACAGGTTTTCGTCATAAGATATAGAGGTTTTCGTATTGGAGTATAGAGAAATTAGAAAAGCTAGAGGTTTTCATACGACATGTAGAGAAAATAGAGGTTTTCATATTCAAATATAGAGAAGAAAGAGGTTTTCCTATTAAGAATTAGAGAAAATAGAGGTTTTCATAGTAAAAAATAAAGAAAACAGCAAAAACGCTCCGCACCCGCAGCAAAAAAAAAGGCGCCCGCACGGCACCCGCAACAAAAAAAAAAACACGCCCCCGCACCCGCAGCAAAAAAAACAAACGCCCCCGCACCCGCAAAAAAAGAAACGCGCCCCCTCACGCCCCAGCAAAAAAAAAAAAAAAAAACGCGCCCCGCACCCGCAACAAAAAGCACCCGCAGCAAAAAGCACCCGCAGCAAAAAAAAAAAAAAACTCTTACCGTTTAGGGTTAGTTTTTGGGCTTTAGGTCCTAAGAAACAGCTGAAACTGTGATTTTTGCTAGGGGTTCCGAGTTCAGCCTAGGCCAACTTCAAGCTCCATTGGCTGGGCATGAGCCTCAAGCAGAAGGACATGCAGCTGGGATTGCGCAATCCCAAGACCGACATGGAGCCTGCTCCTCGAAGGTCGGATGCTCTCAGCTGAGTCTTTGTGCATCTCTGCACGGCCGGGCGCGCAATTCGCGTGATTTTTGGCCGCATGCTGCTATTGCAAGCTCCTGATGCAGTGAGGCTGTTATTCGAGCGACGTGAGGGCAGCGGCAAAAACGATGCTGTCTGGAGGGCTTCCGTAGTGAGTTCAGGTTCTTTCCTCACCGCGTACTATGATTGCGAAATCCTAAACAGCCTCAACCCTATACCTAAACCCCTAAACCCCAGAACCCTAAACCCCGACCCCTAAATACAAAAAAGTGTTGGTAACTTCACACTTCCCTGTCTTTGTCCTAGAAATGATGTCACAAGCGGCCGGAGCCGGCCTCAAGCCCCTCAACTCTTCGAC